AGCCGGAGCCGAAGTCGGGAGAAGCGCAGCTCCTCCAGTCCTGGCGCCAGGGCAGTGCCGTTGCTGGCACTGGCTTCCTCTGCGGGCCAAGGTGAGACATTCCCTGCCTGTGAGCAGCAGGCATGTGGTAAAATAGCTCTGCAAACTAGCTCGGGTCCAACTCTTCGTGTGGGRAAAATGTGGGTATCTATCTTCCCATTCGCTTCAAAGGGCCATCCGACAACTCTGGGCCCGCTAAGCTCAATATCAATCTGAAAAATATTTAAATCAAAGAGYTTTAAAACTTCGTTTTATCAGATGGTGGCAAAAATTGCCTTTTTGACAAAAAAAAWAAAATAAAATAAAATAAAGCCAGGGCAGAATAGGAGATAAACACATACAGCTTTAAACCTCAAATTTGGCCGTGAGAATATCCTTTCTAGTACACACTTGAGAARCAGCACTCTGTCAAAAACAAATACAGACAAGAAATTGGACCCTAAAGGCTTTGTGCAGGAAGAACATTTTGTTAATTAGCCTTTAATAATGTTTTGCTTTTCCCATAAGGAAATGGGGAAAAAAAAAAARAARAAAAAARGRAAARGRAAAAAAATCTATTGTATATAGGTAAAAGAAGAGCTTACTGTTAAAACTGATGAATTCTTAGCACCCATGTGCACAGACACCCAACCAAAAGATTCGTTCAGAGGCCGGTTTAAGCATTTCTCATTAACTCCCCCACATCAGATAGGGAGATGATGACAGAAGTGAAATCTAGCGGCGGCTAAAACGCTACCGCAGTAATTCTAGGATAGCTCTTTATCTAGCGGCAGCTGCCCGCAGCCCCTATTAATTTATCTAAGAGGCTCCATATTGTAGCAAACACTAAAGGAGATAACAAAGGGAGAGGAAACTTGGAGATAATAGCTGCAAATATTCCATCTGCCATACAGTAGCCACTAAACACACGGTTCTACTGAAATACAAATATGCTATCGTTACGAATAACTCTGTTCTTGTTACAACTTCCTATTTTTTTAGTGTGTTCTTTTTATAGGTAGCATCTACACAAAGAAAACGCAAATTCCAGAGGTTTACAAACAGCCCCAGAGCGGTGGGATCAGGTTTGGGATTCTCAGTGACCTCTTTTGGGTGTTTAGCTGCGTTTGGGCACGTTTCGGAAAGAAGACCGATATTCTTAACGCTTCAGTTTTCTTAAAGGAAGGCAACAACTCCTCCTGGGTAGGTTGTTAAAGAATTTACCTCTTTTCTGTGCCCAGCTTGTTGCTAATGCACACACAGTACATGGCACCACGGGCATTCGAACACCTTTAGTTCCAGCTTAGCAGCAACAGAAGTAATTCCTATTCTTAAGGCATAATATGTCTTAAACACAAGGAGGGCTTCTTCAAATCCTCATGTTTTTTTTTTTTGTTGTTGTTGTCTAACTACAGGCAACACTCCAGCTCTGGAACCTTTTATATTGGTTATGTATCCCCAGACGCGGCAGGGGAGTACTTTTAGTTTTATGTATTTCAAAGACAGCCCTCTGATTATCTACACATTATTTGCAGATATTTCCTAGAACACCACACTGGCCATGATCAAACTCCTCTCAGGTGGGAGCTRTCTTTTGTTCTACTTTTGTATAATCCTGTCCTGAGATTCCCAAGAACTCCCAAAAGACCACAAAGAACAAAAAATAATAATGCTCCTGCACAGAGTTTTACAGGAAATCAACACCATGCTGCCTGCTCCCTCCACAGACACTATTTCTTTCAGTGTTCTCATGACTCCCCACGCTACTGAAGTACTCCTGCACTTCACTCTTTTAGCTCAAGCTTCACAAGCCCAACCCGTCATAAAGAAGGATCTGGCTGCAGCCGCGGCTTCCCAGGCAAGCACCAGACTGACCAGCAGCACGGGAGCAGTTAAGAGGGCTGCCAGGCACGGGGTGATCACGGGCTTCAACACTAAGCCCCCGCTGAGCAGACTCAGGAAGCTCCTACTTTCCTGGGATCTCTTGTTCCAGGCTCCTGGCTGCTAATTCAAAACACAGACGTGTATCAGTTTACACTGGGAAGGTCGTATCCACCAGGCTGGGGACGTTTCCTTCGTAAACAGAAGCACAGGCTCCAGAAAACAGCACAAATGCAAGGAAAAATGTAAGGCATTTATATGTCTGGATCTCCCACTCTTACAGATTTATTCTGTCATCAATGTTGAAGATCCTAAAACTTTCTTACTGCAATTTAATAGGTGCTGAAATAGATGCTATTTAATAGGTTCTCCTGCAGAAGAAACAAAAAACCCATGTAGGTGCATAGTTATGGCTTACTAAGACAACAATCTGTGCCCCAAATATGGCCTTTACCATTCCAGGTTTCACAATGAGAGATTCATTTCCACCATTATTATGTTTTTAAGATATATAGGAATCATTTACACTATATTTACATTCTTTATGGCCCATCAGAGCCTGGTTTTTGGAATGAATCTTCCAGGGGTCCCCAGTTGGGTTCACACTGAGTGGTGATCTCAAGGCACAACAACTTCAATGAAAGGGCACTTGGTGTGACAGCCTGGGACTGTGCTCACGTAGAAAGCCCTGAAATGCTCTGTCCGCCTCTCACCACCAGCTCCCTGCTGCTACAGGTGCCCCCTTGTCCGTTCCCTTGGTCCCCTCTGCCTCACTGGGAGCAGAGGGTCCTGCTGCCAGTCACACAGTGTGGTCCACATCAAACCAGCGCCAGTAACTCCCTACCAGGTGGTCTTCCCAGCAGCTCTCATTTTCTTGAATGGAGCCCAAACACCAAAAACTGCACTTAGGTCAGCAGTGAGGAGAGGAGGGGAGAAAAGGGAAAGGGGAGAGAAGGAAGGAGGACATAGTGCTGTCTCCCTTCAAAAAAAAAACCATTTATTTCCTCAGTTATTCACATGAGGAATCAGACACGCCAGAGACAAAACACGAGCTGCAAGGACACTCAGGGTCAACAGTGGCTTTTGCAGTACTGGGCACACTATTCCCTTTCCCTTTGGCAGCAGTGCTCCTGGGAAGGTGCCGGGCACTGCTGCCATTAACATCGGGCGTTCAGCCAGCAGGGGCACGGACCCACCTCACAGACTGTCCTTCCAGCACGTGCGGGGGCTCTTGAGCAGCATCCCCTTCCGCACAGCCAAGTAAGGAGGAGCAGCAGAGTGCAGCCTGCTTTCCCAGTGAATCCCCTGTGTATCCAGGTTATCTACTCCCCAAAATGTAGTGACACGTTTTCATAGCCTCTGATACTGTGTCTGAGCTGTGAAACCTGGTCAGACCAGTTCACATTGTGACTGAACCAGTCACAGCTCTGTGGACTTYGATTCCTTGCCTCCAGTTCACCAGAGACTTTTCTGCTGGAGCAACAGTCTTTTAGAAGCTGTCCATGCTCCTGCTCAGGAGGCTGGAGCAAGTCCTAGTGCCTAGGATGGGGAGCTGTCAAGTCTTCCTGTCCCAGGTGAACTCTCAAACTCGGATAGTTGAACTATCCCAGTTGAACACTCAAATGCAAGCTTAATGGTAAGCACAAGTTATTCTGCTGAGGCTAACAAATCCAAACATTTCCAGTGCATCTGTTTTGAATCCTGCCTCTGCTTTTTCTAGATTTAAAATTTCAGGAGCCTGTTTATTTGCAACGAAGGGTGTTTCCTGAGGCTACTCATGGAAATCAGCACTGAAGCCTGGTTTCCCAGGCTCTGCACTCCTTTCTCTCATGTCTTTAACAACTCACCCTCATGTTCCCCTTCTCGAAGTGTCTCCAGCACCACGAGCTCCTTCTCCGATGTCTCGCTGCCCTTGTTCCACCTACATCGTTTCTCTACATTCCCAGCCCTCCMATCTCGTTCCTTCTCCTGCTCCCTACACAACCACTTTGGACACTGCTTCCGATCCCTTCTGTGTCCTCAGCATCCTCTGCGTGTCATCCCACATGATGCCGACCCTTCTGATCCTATTCACCGAAGTASTTATATATAAACTTAACTAACATCTTAACTCCCTACAGTGTCCCTTATGATCGCCCCAAAGTATCCTAGTTCCCTCCCGCATCCCGCAAGTCCAAGTCAACACACACRCATGCTGTATCCCTTTGCCTCTGGCTGGCTATCTGGGCAAGAGGCACTGTTGTTTTTGGAACTGTACTATTTGCTTAGTGCTCGACACATTTCACCAGATAAGGGCAACATTTTACCAACATCTCTCTTTGTGGGGGCACCAATCTGAGGCTCTTCTTTACCCAGGCTCTGATCCTCAAGAAACTTTCAGAACTTTGCATCTTTGAGACCTCTAACCCACCCAGGAATGTGGCTGAAACGGATTCAACGTATTCAGACCTTAAGAGTGCAAAGAAAGAACACAGCCTTCAGCGGCAGGCTGCAGGACTAAACTCTTCCAGGGGAACAAAGCCAGGTTAAAAAATGCTTATTTTATACTGAAGTTAAACTGCTAGGTAAAAGTCCCCTGAAACCATTTCTCATTCTCTTTTGTGGGGTTGACCTTACATGGAGGGAGAAGCTAAAAATATGCTGGTATGTATGGCTGAGCATGGCTTCCAATATACAAAAAAACAACTCTGTGACACTAATGCAGTCTGCCTTGCTCCGTAATTATTACTGTTCATATCAAATATCATTTACAGAAAAAGGCATTCTGTGTTTTTGTGTTTTTTCTTTTCTGAATGATTCATACTCTTGACTCATAAAACCTCTCATCTGTCACAGATTACTCAAGGACTTACAAGAGGGGAGTCTACAAATATTATGCTTTTTTTATGCAGGAGGTATTTTCTCAAAATGCAAATCAAAACAGCTTGAAGTTTCAGGAAATTCAATAGAGCAGCTCAGGAACAGAAGGAACCCTGTAATACATAAGCTCACTCGAAGCCATTACACTCAGCAGAGCTCTGTTAGCCAATATCACTGTAACTCTTGCAATTAAATTTAAGAGTAGCAAGAAAGCCTCCAGTGAAGGAGGAAGGGGACCTTACCTATGAGATACATGCCAATCCAGTCCCCTGCATCCACTTCCTCCTTTATATCCCAGTATATCACTAGGTCTTGAGAGTGCCCGATGGAGTAGTAGGAGCTGCTGACCATCAGCGTGGAGCGGCTGTCGGAGGTGACGAGGTCCGTGTCGCTGGTGGACCTGGGAATGGTGACAGCCTCGTGGGCGTTGCTCCTGATGTCCATGTTGTGGAACTGGTCGGGGTTATAGCTGTATCTGAGCGGTTCCTTGCACCGGCGCCGACTCTGGGAGTTCCTAGATGGAGACGCCATGGCTGCCAGGCCCAGGAACCTGTTTTGGTACAGATTCTGCAAAGAAACCAAGGGGACAGTGTTTACRATGTGTTTTATATTTCAATGACATCCAAGCTTTGTCTAGGAAAAGAAGGGCATGAGAATGAGCAAATAACAAAAGAAGAGATTTTTCTTTTTTTCATTGGGGACGGCAAAAAAAGGCACAAGAAGAGGTGGCAGGAAACAGATAGTGCTAACCCAACATTACCCCTTAACTCCTACTATGGAAACAAGTGTAAAAGCAAAGCCTAGCAGCTTTGGCTGCCGTTGGCAGTGTTAGAAAAACGAGCAGCATCTGGCTTTCTCCATGTCACACACTATGTTTAGCAACACGCTAGAGCACCATTCTCTTTCAGTGTGAGGAGACATTCTTCCCACTTTCTGCACTTGGAGCTAAGTCTTCTTCCTAGTGGCTCTAGCTACATTTGCAGCGGAATCGCTTTTAATCGACCCTCCTCACTGAGAACATGGCCTGGTTAAAACCATGAGAAGAGAGAGATCCCCGAGAGCAAGACAGCCTTCACTGACAGGGAAGAGCAAATCCCGTGTCGCAGTGTCACTCGTACAGCTCTTGATGCTGTTGCTCTACTCCGCTCTTCTCAGAAGACTCACAAAACATGTATGTCCTTTGCAGTACATCCTGGACAATTARGGGACAATCAAYGAGGCTACTGCAGAATAGAGACCACGTTAAGTAGTTGGCACTTATTTAAACTTCACCTTACCTTCATTCCCCAAGGCAAGGTGACGGGCTTGTATTAACAGTGCAATGGTACCTCAGTTCAGGGTTCTGTGAGTTGGTGGATAGTAATGCTTAAGTTAGGACTTGGATTAATTCTAATGTGAAAACATGCTCTAATACTGACTAAAACACTGGCTACTGCCTACGTCTGTGCTGCCTCTTTCATTTCCCTTCACTGCTTTCCTCTTCCCCCTGCAGCTCTATTTCAATCACTCAGGTTTCATTACTCGTTAGCCTTCCATGTTCCACCTGTTGCCATCCATGCCATCAAGCCAACCACGTAAAAGGAGACAGGCAGCTTTCCAGCATGCCATGAAACGCTTGTCACATCATGAGAAGTCAAATCATCCTTTTGAATGGAAACAAATTAAGTGGAAGAAAAAATCACAGTTTCTTTGTCCAGCCTGGTATCTGCTGAGGCCATCGTAATACAAGAGGACAATAAGCCCTAAAAAATGCAGGATTTTGATTTTTATTAAATAAGACAGATTTGTGTAGAATAATCACAAGGCTTATTATTAGTTATGTCTCAAGATTCCTTTGCACGAGGAGCTGTACAAATGGAGCAGAAGATGCAGCTGGAACGTTTGTACCCTTAAAATACAACATCACTCTATAGGTGCTGCCCTACAAGGCTCACAGGCCAATGACCCAAATCCTCACTTGTGGCATTGAACACAGTTTATAGCAGAAATAGCTGCAGTGAGGAGGCCCCACCTTGCAGTACATGCTAGCAGGACTGAAGTGAGCAATGCAAAAGGCTATACTCTAAAAAAAAGGAATAGAGGGAAGGAATTGTGGAGGGGAATGAAGTACATGGTGTTGCTCACATAGGGTAGCTTTTGCTATGCATCTCATCATGCCTTTGCTTTTTTTTTAGTATTTACATTTATTCACTTTCCTGTTTGAAGCAGGAAAGAACTCATTTCATTGTATAAAAACCAGCACGCCCTGTCTGAGGACCTTTATGTAGCAAGCACTCAATTCTATTTGTCTGTGAATCCGTAAGGAGAAAATGCTTCATTTTTGAACAAAAAAGACATGATTTCCCACATGCTGTGACCGGATTCTAGTCTGCAGTGTAAGTCTGGTGGAAGTTCCTGTCTCTTAGCACACAACACTGTCACATCAGCAGTACCTGAGACAATTACTGTTGGCTTTATCACGGCGAGATACCAATACAAGAACTCCAGGCCCACTTAGTGGGCCTGGCTTAATCTGTATCACCAACACGCTCTCCTTAGCTCCTAGTGCACTGCCCAACAGCTACTTCTGTTCCAAGGCAGGCATTTTCCTTCTGGTGACAAATTACTCCAGGGAACAATGGTTCTGCAGATTTTTAAATGTTAATGTGTGTAGAGTATTAATTAACTGCACGCTCTCAAATTAAATCAGACTTAACAAACACATTATTTTTTTTCACTTCTGCATGGTTTTAATCAGTTTCTACTGGAAACACTGAATCCAGCACTCCGTTCTGGCTGTGTCAGTTCCTTTTTCCTGCGTGCTGCTGTCAGTAGAACCAGGAGCACCACCTGAGAGCACTGACTGTGCAGCTACAGGCGACGTTCTCCAGGAACCGAGTCTCCTGTATGTCTAGCACAGAAACACAAATGGGACAATGCACTCACCCACAATGGTTTGGTTTAAGTAACGTCATCGGAATACAAGCATGGTAGTGTGAATAGTAAAAGGTGAAAAAAAAAGTTACTTCACATGTGACTGCCATTTTTTGCATCTTTTTTTTTTTAATACAGTTTTCTACCAGTATCTGTGTGTGCAACATATGCACACAGGCACTAAATCCTGGTGATGGGATCTTGGCTGTGGCAAGATGTCACAAAATTACATCCTCTTGCAGAAGCATTCCAATCCTACCATTAATAGCTACCATAATGAGAATTACCCTTCTTTAGGTTTAGGTGTTTGACATTTATGTTTATTCTATTCCTTTGCACAGATGTACACATCAAGATATAGACTCATTCCTAATATACAGTATGCAGTGTAAGTTATAAGGCAAGAGTAATGAATAGCCAAATTTAGACCCAAGAGCACACGAGATGAAGCTTTTTTGTCAGGAGAGAGGAATCCTTCTTTCTTCCTCGGTCAAAACATTCATTCCGTCCTAGGGTGCTTTTCACCTATGGATTCTCTCCAGCAAACACCTCTCAGGCCTCACTTCTCCACCTCTTTTCTCACTGTCCGTGTGGCCGCTTGCAGTGAGGAGGTCACTGTCTCGTGGCATGTGGAAACCAGGATTTCTCCTCACAGCTGGGAATCTTCTAGCTTAGAAGCATATAAGTTGCTCACAGGTGTTGAAGATGTTGTCCTAAGAGGGCCCCTGCCTTGCCACACTTGGGTCCATCACGCATTTGATGCAACCAAGATGTGATTTCAAGCTTGTCCTAAGTTCTGGGTGCCAGGATCATCTTGGCTGAGCTTGGCTAGTTCCTGTATCTGATTTTATCGGACGGAGATACGATGTCACAGGAATCTACAAGATGTCCAGTGACAGGCAGTGACAGGCACCTGAGGTAGGAGCAAAGGCAAAGGGAGAAAGGGCAGAGCAGCCTGGCCCAAAGTCCGCTCCCCAGCCAGGCTCCAGCAAGGGAAGCAGAGAGCTGGCCTCACTACAGCCTAAACCACCTTTTCTGAGAATGGGGTGGTCTTCTCTCTTGAAGAGAGTTTACTGCTCTTCAAGCCAAACTAAGTTTTGGCTGGAAGCTCTTGAGGAAAGAGCTGTTTCCAAAGGCAGCTCTTCTGCAGCCATCGTCAAAGACTCTGAATGAGCAGCGATTACAACCTGAGGCAGAGCCCACTGAAATGAAGGGCTCCAAACGAATCAACTCCAGCAGATGTCAGATCAAAATTCGGGAGCAGACAGAGTCATTCCAGAACCAGGCAGAAAGAGCTTGCACACACAGGGAGGACAGAGGGAAAACCCTCCAGCCGGAATGGGTAGAAAAGGCATGGAAGGAAAGCTAGCAATGATGTCCACTGCTGGCAGAGTTCGTCTGTGCTAATGAAGAACACAACCAATCTGTGAATATAATATAAGATAACATAACATAACATAATCCTGTAGAGAAATAAAACTTTCCATAATCTTCCTCTCAAAATAGAAAACACTGTCCAAAAGAACCCAAACATCTCAATCAAACACAAAATGCATCATAATAATATTCAGTTTCATGAACTAAAAAAATCTGGATATCAAGGATATTTTAACAAAGAATTCAAAGAATATCTTTGCTGTTGGACAATATATAAGGGCTTCTGACAGCAATCAGTTATGCTGATGTAAAGGAGCACTTAATCTACAGAACTTAGTAATTAAATGTTTGATATCAGAAATGGTCCTTTTGTATACTGTCCTTTTGTATACTGCCAGCTCTAAGTATGGAGTTATAAAATAGCAGTGTACCGAGCAAAACCAGGGGGTGATCTTTTCAGCAAATATGAAAAACAATGTCTCTACACATCGCCCAGGCACATAAAAACCCTACAGCTAGGAAGGCCTTTGCCAGATTATCTGGGAGCAGAATTAGTCTCTTATTTACATCACACGGCCCATCTGACGAAAACAAACTTCAATAAAAATAAATTTTAGAGTGGTATTTTTTGTTTCATAGAGATGCAACTGTCACCCTAAATATGGGAAAACATAAAGGAGCAGAGAAGAAGAAACGACATACACTAGCTGGCTATAGAGAAAGACAACACGCAGACAGACAGGGAGAAAAGGCACGGCCATTCCCCGCTGCCTCTCTCCCCATTCCGCCTGCTCCGCACCGCTCCGCACTGCTCGGTGCGCGAGCCCTGCTGCTGCTGCGAGGCCCTGGCCAGGGCAGAGCCGCCGGCAGCGCAGCCCTCTCCTCGGCTGCCCCACAGGGCAGGGCCGCCCCGCCGCCCCAGGGCAGCAGCTTCTCCCCGACCCACGGCCTCGCGTGGGTCCTGCGAGCCCCGTCCCACCGGAGGCTTCAGAGCGGCCAAGCAGCAGCTTCTGCTGCGGCGCCCGATGCCCGAGGTTTGTCACTGGCTTTCGCTCACGTCACGGCAGCCACGTGGCACATTCCAAACAGGGATCTGCATGGCCGAGCTCAGTCCCCTTTTCGGACACCGAAAAGATCGAGATGCCGGCAGGATCTYGCCCCTCGTGGCTCCGGCAGAGCAGGTGCACAGGACAGGCCAGGAAGGGGGGCCGGGAGGCTCCGGGGGGCTCCGGAGCACGTCGGCCTCCACAGCCGCCGGCAAGGCGGGTGGTCCCTGA